AGGGAACTATTTGTTTCAAGATAGCAATGAATATACGGTGGAACACGGCTGCAACACACAGAACACAAAAGCCGGCCGCCGCCGCAGCATCTTCCATTCCATGATGGAGTGGAATGGAGATAGATAGATAGGTAGATAGATGCCGACGAGCATTGTCGAGCAGAGGACTCGCCGGAGATATATATGCCATCATTTGGTAGTGGCGTAGTGGTGCTACGACGTGACAGGCAGAGGTTCGAAACATCATCCTCGGTCGTTTTCTCTGGCTGCTGCCGCCTTTCCCAGTTTCCCCGGTGTCGCTGGTGCTGTCGTACTCTGCGATGCTCCATCGCCGTGATACCATCCATAATTTTTGCACAAAGATATCCTGCACACTCGGACACCAAAGTAGTAGTTTCAGAAGACTTCAAGTTTTTCTAAAAAAGAGAGAGAAAGAGAAAAGAAAGTGAACTTGGAACATGCACGGAAATTCCCTTCAAAAGCACGAAACACATCATGGAAATGGAAAACGAATCTGTGAACGCCATTCTTGTCCATGGGCTTTGTTGATGAAGGCATCGAACCCCTATGCCACCCGTCTCCCTGTTTCTTACAGATGCTCTGCGGCGGCTTGCAATCATATGGTTCAAGGGAAACTACCTGGCCTGTGCACTTTCTCTAAGACATGCTGAGCATGTGCTTGAAGACACATCGGTTCGATTCAAGCGGGCATGCATTCAAAGGGAAAGATCGGGGACCAAAAAATAGGTTTCAGTTTATGGGTTTCATTTCAGAAAGTAACCAGTATCACATCGTACCAGAATGCTGCACCCGGCATCATCAAGCAGCCGAACAGCATTCAGAAACTTTTCTTTGTACAAAGTGTGAAGAACACCACTGAAGCTGAGGGGCAAAACACACCTCTTTTCAGCTTCTGAATCTGCCGCAGAAGCTGAAAAGAAGTGGCCCATAGTCAGTTAGTCACTGCCTAAGCCAGGTAGGAAGACATGTGAGAAACACTAACTGACCACCACAGATCAACCATCCGAGTCGACAAGGCAAAATTTGCGTCGCGTAAGGGGAAGTGTACCGAGTTACTGCTTTTTGTACAAGAGTGAGCGGAGACCTGCCAGAGTAATAGGCTAAGACCAATTGTTCATGTGCATCCACAGGAGAACGGGTTGTATGACACCACATATGGGTTTCAGCGGGAACGCGGTCACTGACACAACGGGGTCTTCTACAGGCATTTCTCGCCCTCCGCTGACAGGGTGATGAGTCTATCTGCTGAATATGCGGCGGTGCTGCCATCGTCAACGCCTATCCTGGGGAGGCTCTTGTTTGATCCACACTGCGCTGCTGGATTCTTTGGAGCCACATTTTCTGCACAGAAACGTTAACAAGGTTTGATCAACAGAGAGAGGAAGATGCAAAATGCATCCCTTGGTATGCATGAGAATAAGATTTTCAAGCACCATACTAAGGTTAAGAGCGTTTTGTGGTTTAGAATTAAACCTGATGTCATGCACTCCTTGCTTGATGTAGGATGACTCTTCTCTTTTGGTAAAACACTCGATGACGGAGGTTTACAGATCACAGGAACCACAGTTGCTGCACTGGAATAGCTGGCTTCAGGCATGGTCTTTCTTGCAGGAACTTTAGGCACCTTGCTTTGCACACGGAGGTGAGGCGCCATGCTTTTTGGCGCACGGAGTTGCGGGGCCATACTTCTTGGTGCACAGAGCTCAGGCGCCATACTTCTTGGCGCACGGAGATGTGGTGCATTACTTCTTGGTGCACAGAGCTCAGGCGCCATACTTCTTGGCGCACGGAGATGCGGTGCCATACTTCTTGGTGCACAGAGCTCAGGCGCCATACTTCTTGGCGCACGGAGATGTGGTGCCATACTTCTTGGTGCACAGAGCTCAGGCGCCATACTTGTCGCTGCGGAGAACTGAGGAACCCTACTTGGAGTATAGGCTTGACATGATACGCCTGGAGTTGCAGCAACACTTTCATGTGCCCTATTGGATGCAAGAGCGTCATGGGCTTCAGGTGTCGTACCTGGTGCAGCAGAATGCAGGCCTTCCATACTGACAGATGCAGTGTTCCCAGGTGTTGGTCTTGATACATGAGAGTCATGGCCTTCAGAACAGCTTCGTGCGAGGGTATCATGACCATTATATTCCATGCTTGGTCCCGAAGAATCCAAGCCATTAACACTGAGCAACGCACTCCTCACAAGGGCGTCATGACCTAGAGGTGCCACCATGGATGCAAAAGGATCCTGGCTGTTAGTACAGCGGGATGAAGAGCTTTCCGAACACATACTTGGGGTGGGCGAATGCTGTCCTCGGACTGCACTCGCAGGAGAACCACCATATGTGGAATTCACAGGTTCACAATTCTCACGAAGTACACTTGGTGCTGGACCATCATGACTAGGAGTTGCAGATACAACATCTGTACTTGTCCCAATGCAGACAGATCCCAATGTTGCAGGACAACTGGTATTCTTTGCAGGAGAGTTGTACCATAATGACGGCTGCAATAGGAGGGAAGAAGTTAAGAACAGAAACGTGGTTGGCCACATTTGTCCAAGCCCACAACGTCCACAAACAAGGAATCGCTAAATATAAGAAAAAATACTGAAATGGCATGCACACAAAGTAGAGAATGACATGATACAACCTCTTTGGCAGCAATGAAAGGGAGAGTGGAAATATTGCAATGACTAAACTATCGATTTGTCATTTGGGCCAACATTGGAAACAAAGCTTTCCAAGAAGATGCACAAACATTGTAAAACACAGTAAATACTATGCCAACTTTGTCGAACAGCACATGCTCCCTCCGCTCTGACCGTAAATATCTAAAACAGTATTTTGTTAACAGCTACAGTTACAAAATCACAATCAAAGAAACTGCTTTTGTTTACGAACCCAATGGTGTCTATTTTCATAAACCAAATATTGTTGGACTAATCGTTGGTCAAAGCACGAGCTTGGACAATCATGATACACCTCCTATTTTGAAACAGAGGTAAGTAGTAGTACTACACAAAAAAGCTAACCATGCCATCATTCCATCAAGAGAACAGCACCATTGCACCAGCAATAAATTTGGGGACTTCTACCTTATGAATAATTAAGAACATCTCAAAAGTAATATTCGATGCTCTCTTAGTCTAAGAATATAATAGGCACAAACCTCTAAAGGCTTGCCCCACTTTCTTAGCCCAAATCCCTAGTGTCATACTCTTATTTTAGCCAATGTGGCTACAGTTGAGGCTCTCAGTTGGCACACTTTTGAGCCAAGCCACACTTTCACTTTGGCTAACTTAGGTTTGACATGCGTGGGCACCAACCAAAAATTGTTGTTCATAGGCATTAAGAAATATTCGCAGACGCATCACAAAACATTGCTCTGTACACCAGTCTTGCGTAATTCACTCTTGGTATGGTGATCATCAAATGTGTACTTAGATAAAGTATACTGCCAGAGTAACTTACACTGTATTTAAGTTTTGTTAAGGAATCCAGAAGTAATTTCTCTCCAACTATTATCATCATTTTCTTGACCATTTCATCATGAGTAATCTTATTTTCCTGTGTAATAAAATCATTTGAATGAATAGACAGAAGCAAACTGACTGCAAAATTCAGTGACAATTGATAACAAAATAGAAGTTGCCAAGAAGGCAATACCTTCAACTCCTCATAGTGGCGATAGAGCAATTCCCTCGCTAAAGACGATATACTGTCTTGTATTGTCTCAAAGAGCAATCTGAATGAAATCCATGGAGACGTTGGCCCTTCATCAGTTTGACATAGTACCTACATACAAGTCATAGATGTCAGATCAACAGGAGATTATTAGCTTATGACAGCACTAGAAGTGCTTTTTAACACAGAAGGCACAGAGAGCAGTACTTGGAGGTAAAGTTAAAATTTGACAAACATACAACAACAAAACAACAACAACAACAACAACAAAGCCTTTAGTCCCAAACAAGTTGGGGGTAGGTTAGAGGTGAAACCCATAAGATCTCGCGACCTAAAATTTGACAAACATACTCTGGCAAAAATTGCTAATACTCAAAGACACATCCAAGCAAACAGTATGCTTATAACCCGTTAGCTCCTATTGGGAAGTACTCCCTACGTTCATAAATATAAGATGTTCAAACTTTTTTCTGAATCGGATGTATATAGACACATTTTAGTGTGTTTGTTCATTCATTTCAGTCCGTATGTAGGCCATATTCAAATATCCGAAACATCTTATATTTGCGAACGAAGGGAGTACCATGATAAGAGTTCAGGTGACTCACTGGTTGAAGAATAGAAGGATCCACTTTCACTTCACCTGGAGGTGGGCGCAACCATAAACCCTTCAAGCTACGAAAATACTCTGTAAATAAGTACAGTCAAAGTGGATCAGTCATTTATCTCATGTAAACATACATGATAAGAAATTCAACACTAAACGACTTAGCATACCTTGAACTTTTGGAGCAAGCCTGAAACTTATAAGGTATTCCAGAGAAATATTAGTGCTTCGGTGTGATGGCCAGATCACATAATAGTTTGGGTTTGAGCAATCATCAACGCCAGAATCATAAATGCCTAGAAACTCCTCCTGTGAACCTGGTTTGATAACTCCTGTTTTGCCCAATATGGCTCGGCACAACAACATATACTGTACCCCTTTTTCGTCAACATCACAAAGACCAACACTGCAAAATAATAAAATGTTATGCAACATCCACTGATATGTAACTAAAACAGACCATTGAAACTATAAAATGAAATGACAACCTTGTAAAGGCGCGGTTTTCAGGTGACAGATAAATGCCATCGGCCATTACCGTATCATGAGTGTTTTTTCCAGTGCTAACAAAACCATTAACTATAACACTGACAATGTCTTGCTTTCTGGATCCAAGTCATCCATATTTTGCATTTGCATTGCCAGACTTCTGTCCTGTCAACCACAACTGTTTCTCAAAAGCTTCAAGTCTACGCTGTGCAGGGATATCCTTTGGAGAGTACCGATGAATATGAAGAATGTTGTTAGGCACTGCAAATGAACCCATACCAGAGAGGAAAAGGTTCTGAACAAACAGAAAGCTTTCGCTACCTCTTTCAACATGTACAATCTTCTTACGCAATATATCTAAAGCACAAGAACTCTGTATAACTGGAGGGCTGGCTTCAAGCATAGCTTGTTTCGCCACATCAGATGGAGGCTTCACAACATTACCCCTAACGGAACCTAGTGCAGCACCTTCAACAACATTTCTGCTCAACTTTGCGGATTCTTCAACTTCCTCATCAAAGAATGAAGACGGAAAAGACCAGTTGTTAGTCCCATCAAGCCATGCAACAGATCGCTGTTTCCTCGTTTTTAGGTTCACCAAGGTCATTGATAAGAAATCAATAAGTAGAGGCTGGTCATCCATCACAACAACGATACTAGATTTGTCACCTCCGAATGCATCAACAATGGATGTGACTATTTTGTCAGGAAAGTCACACCATGAACCTTGTTTGTAAAACACGACACGACTTGGCGCCCCACTTTTCAGGTAATTAACACAATCATTAGCAAGATTAGGTTGGCTGTGACAACTGTGAGCAGGTAAATCCGATGAGGATCCGCTGTGCACCATAGAAGATACATTATCAATTTCAGTATGATGGGACTTGCTGTTTTTCGCCAAGCAATCATCATCGGGCTTGCGCTTCAGGCACAAAGCCTTAGACTTTTGCAGTGGATCCATGGGTGCTTTACTTCCTAATAGAAAAACAAAGAAACATGGCAATGGGTGATCCTAATATGATAGAAAATTTACAGTTCTTCCCTTACTTTTTTAATATTTATCTCATAAGTATAACACGATCCTGTAAGGCAACAGTAAATGTAAGTGTAACACGGAACACACAGATACATCAGAAAGTCTTAATCAGCACTACTTTGCAAATAGAAGTGGACTTCATCAGAGCACAAGTCAAATGACTAGATATGGAAATGGTTCAAATACAGGAATCATCATTCAGTGAACGTGTTCTTCAAAGAGGCAGGCAGTAAAGTACTCCCTCCGTCCCGAAATAAGTGTCTCGAGCTGAGACACTTATTTCGGGACGGAGGGAGTATTCAAGTACTTGTCTGCGGTGTCTTTTGATATGTAAATCAGTATATAGAAGTAGACAATACAACTTATGGGCATCCTGAGTTCCTGACTAAGTGACTATGCTTCTCGAAGAGGCCACAGATTATTCCAGAGACTCAAATGCTGCCAATAAGAGTAGAGAATACAAGCTATTGACATATGAAACTACCATTTTTTAATGTATCTTACATAATACTTGATTCAATCTTTGGTAAGACAACAACAGTTGCATAAGCAGGGATCTTCATTAATCTCTTGCAAACAGCAGCATAATCATGCACTTGGCAGGAAATATTTGATGCAGAAAGATAATATAAAACCAGTAATAACTCATCAAAGAAAATTACTTACATAGATACTACTTTCAGGTGCAATGCAAAATAAAAGAAATAGTTAAAATGTTGCGAAAGCATTCAAGTAGAAAAAAAATCTGATTGGGGCGCTGGGGGCAAACTATAGAAGTGGGGGGCCTGAGGCTTGTACAAATTCACATAGTTCTGGCGTCTTTTTTCTTCTAAAATACAAAGAAATTATGTCCGAATTACATATTTTGAGTGGGGTCCTAGGCCCTCAACGTGGGTTCAAGATTTTTCTTGTATAGGTGCCGAATCGCAAATGTCGAAGCGCATTTAAAACAGGGCACTAATAAATCCAGTAATCCACCACTGTGCGAACGGAAAAGGAAAGGGAAACCCCTTCTAAAGCAACTAGCGTCTATGAGTGAAGGGAAAAACCCTACTTGAAATGGAATTAAACCGAACAAAAGAAGAAGAAACTTCCCGCAAAAACAAAAAAAAGAAGAAACGAAATAAAAATCCAGATTTTTTTTATTAAAACAACTAGAGGACTCCTATGAGGCTATGAGCAACCAAACCGAAAATTCTTACAAGGACAAGCAACGCAGATGATGCAGCAAAGGGGGAGGGAGGGATGACGCGAGGGAACGAGAGGAACGGGGCCTTACAAACACAGAGGAGGGAGGACCCGTCGCCGGAGGGGACGCGGGCGCGCGGCGGTGGAAGTGACGGGTGCGGTCAGTAGGGCGGCGACGACGGCACCCTCTCCCGCGCCTCCGGTGCTTCCACGGCCTCCGACATCCGGGACGGGGTTTCTCGCGGCGAGGCTGGAGAGCTCGGAGTCGGAGGAGAGAAATGGAGGAGACGGGACACGTGGGCTGGACTGGCACGCAGGGACGCTGGCCCGTTCTGATGATGATGCGTGCAAGGCCCGTTGATCGGGCGCTTTCGCGCTGGTTCCTATTCGGCGCTCAGTGCGCTGGTTAAAGGCGTCCCCGGTTTTGGAAAGCTTCAAGAAGCTGTCGACCGTTTTTCTGTCTTTGTTCGTTCTTTATTATTTTTGTTTTTACTTTTTATTACTTAATATCATTAAAATTTTCCTTTTCAAATTCGTGATTTTTTAGAAAATCAAAAACAAGTTTTAATTTTTTAGTTCATGAACATTTTTCAAATCTGCACATTCATAATTTTTAAAAATCCATGAAACTTGTTTCAGTTCCTGAATACTTTTCAAATCTGTGAACACTTTTCAAATAGGTGAAATTCTTTCAAATTCGCAATTTCATATTTTTAAAATTTTATAAACTCTTCTGAAGCATGAAAGTTTTCCCAGATTTGAAAAAAATGAACCCGTGTGTTTTCCTAAGATTCAACGGTCAACCAGTCGGCGTGTGTGCTTGATGAGCAAGCTACTCGCTCGCATAGCTGTGCCGGCCCATGCAAGGGGGCGCGCGAGCGCGGACTAGGAGCACTCCGCTTTCACGGCCTTCTGGGTTGGGAGCCTTATCATGCTCGCTGTGTCAATTTGCTGACCAAACGCACATGACGGGCGCACGGGATTGGGCCAACCCACTTCGGAAGAGAGAACTGATATTTTTGTTTTTATTGATTTTCTATATGTTTTCAACTAGTTTCCTTTTACAAACACACAGTTTTTATTTTCATTCTAAGAAATCAACCATTTTAAAAAAATTGAGAACAATTTTAAAAATTCCAGAATATTCTTCAGAAAAACACGATTTTTTTGAATTTAAGTATGCGAAAATATGTTTAAAATGTGAATGCTTTTTAAATTATGTGAACATTTTTTTAAAAATATGATAATTTTCAAATTTATAGATTTTTGTTAAAAAAGACGTGATTTTTTTAAAAAAAAATTGCGTCAAAAATATGAATAAAGCTAATGGATGAAAAGAAGAAACTAGAACCAGAAGGAACATGAAAAATGGCTCTAAAACCAACTGCTAGCGAACAAATGTAAAAAATATGGTCTTGCCTTACTACGCTAATGGGCTTGACCCGTGATGATCGCCCTGTGCGAATCCTTGAGAAACTAAGGCAATGAGCATGATATAGGAAATGTCTTCTATGTTTCGTGATCGAGTGGGAGGGGGGTGACTAGTCGCTTAACTCATTCTTTCTACTTTTCTTTTCTTTTACTGTAAGTCAAAATGCCCCGGTCTAATGGACTACATGATGTCAAATATGAAGGAATAACTAACATCAACACTACAATTAACATTTCACCATTCAGTTTACTACTGATAGGCCATCAATGATGAGCATTATTGATGATGGGTCATTGTTAATCCACCAACGATAACCAGTAGACAACTGGTGTCGGAAGTCACCACTAATGGGCAATATGGTGACCCACGAGAGGTGAACAGAGTGGTCGGGCATGTGTGCCAAAACACTGACGACCACTCAGCTCCAGCGGGTGGCTACTACTGATCCGTCAACGACGAGGTACCACCGTTGATGGGCCACACCTCTAGCCCATCAACACCATCCTTGCTTCGCCATCCAAAACCTCTGGTGCCGCTCCCACTCTCCACTCCGTCTCAGGCCAACCAGTAGAGCTTGACTCCAGCATGAAACAATGAACCCAAGGTCAAACAAAGATACTTGTTAACCTAGCCCAATGTGTATCCGTAGCCTTCCCTGTTTTGAGAATCTCATATTTCTTCATAGCACGAGTGTCATTGGTATGTTCCATCGCCTGTTCCTAGGTAAGTAGATTTTCTACCAGCGAAGTAGAATTAGCCTGAGAATCAGCAACTGAGAATGTGGGGCACCCTGCTTTTGTCATTTGCCCGTCTCATAGCCTCTGATACTCTCTCTTAGCTTACTCCTTAGCCCACCTCCGCATCGACAACTTCCCTCCTCACCATCGGATCTACCTCCCTAAGGGCCACAATGGGTACCTGCAGTCTACCGGGTTCATGCGCCCCATATGCCATTGGATCTGCATGTCCTCGTCGACCTCTCCCAATCGCCTCGTCTTCCCACCGGTCGCCTCCCTCCACGCCATCGAATCCACCTCCCCAACGGCCACAACATGCCAGGCATGTCCCTTGAATACATGTGCCACCACTTTTAGATATTGTATTCGTTCCCACGGTACAACAAGTTTCAACCACCTAGCTAAACAAAAAACTTCCCACAGTGAACATGCTTAACCTGCAGGGTCATGTCTGTATATTACCGAACCTGTAGGGTTGTACACGTTTAACGACTAGTAGTTTTTAGAGAAGTAGGAGTACATAGGACTATGAGAGAAGGGCACTGAAAGAGTTCTGGATGGTTCTGTATGGATTTGGGAGCGTCCCAGAAGTGCTCGAGAGTATCCCAGAAGTTCTTGAGAGCATCCTGGTTTTTTAGAAGCCATCGGAAGGTTATAGAGCGCACCAGAAAGTTCTGGAGTTTCTAGAGGGTCCTAGTGGGTTGCCCCCTGGCTATCCCAAGGGGTAGCGCCATGATACGTCTCCAACGTATCTACTTTTCCAAACACTTTTGCCCTTGTTTTGGACTCTAACTTGTATGATTTGAATGGAACTAACCCAGACTGACGATGTTTTCAGCAGAATTGCCATGATGTTGTTTTATGTGCAGAAAAAAAATTCTCAGAATGACCTAAAACTTCACGGGATATCTTACAGTAAATAATAAAAAATCCTTGCCAAAGATGAAGACCAGGGGGCCCACACCCTTCTCACGAGGGTGGGGGGCGCCCCCCCTAGGGCGTGCCCCCCTACCTCGTGGGCCCCCTGGAGACCCCCCGACTCCAACTCCAACTCTATATAACTGCTTTCGGGGAGAAAAAATAGGAGAGAAGAAATCATCACGTTTTATGATACGGAGCCGCCGCCAAGCCCTAAAACCTCTCGGGATGGCTGATCTGGAGTCCGTTCGGGGCTCCGGAGAGGGGGATTCGTCGCCGTCGTCATCATCAACCATCCTCTATCACCAATTTCATGATGCTCACCGTTGTGCGTGAGTAATTCCATCGTAGGCTTGCTGGACGGTGATGAGTTGGATGAGATTCACCATGTAATCGAGTTAGTTTTGTTAGGGTTTGATCCCTAGTATCCACTATGTTCTGAGATTGATGTTGCTATGACTTTGCTATGCTTAATGCTTGTCACTAGGGCCCGAGTGCCATGATTTCAGATCTAAACCTATTATGTTTTCATCAATATATGAGAGTTCTAGATCCTATCTTGCAAGTCTATAGTCACCTATTGTGTGTTATGATCCGTTAACCCCGAAGTGACAATAATCGGGATACTTACCGGTGATGACCGTAGTTTG